AGTCCTCTCTATACTGCCTCTCTTCCTGCTTTCACAATGGCCTCTGTCCATAATTAAGGGTTGCTGCTGTGGATTGCACTAGGGTTGAAGCAGAAGTATAGCAACAAGAACCACTTGTACACTGGAGTGCGGAGTATTGGTGAAGGTTGTGTTGCTTTGATTCACTGATCTTCTCACATGAGCACTGTGTTTACCCTTACATGTCTATGAGGCTGTGTCTGACTTGGTACAGTAATTTCAATGGGGAAGATAAGGTGGAACTCAAACAGAACCACCATAATAACTTTAATACTAAGTAAATAAAATTTAGATCAGTCCACTTCATTAGAAGGTCAGAATGTACCTGCTATTCTCTGTTGCAAAGTTTATGAATTTCAGGATTTGAAGACACACACACAATAATCAGGGCAAAGTCAACCTCTCTCTACTGTGATGCTCTCTGAAGCACCTGAAACCTTAGGCTCTGCCAACATAAATCACAATTTTTGTCAAAGATCACTTAAATGCAGACTACAGTAAGTCAATATGGATAGCCATATGGGTTGTGTTCTTTGCTTGGTGTTTCTATGGTTTCACTGAAGAGCACATTGGATATGCATACCCAAAAGATGCTCCAAGATCATAAAGAAATGGGTTCTTAGCTGGGTAAAAAAATGCTAACTGCCACAGCTTCCAGTTCAAGCAAAAAGGTGGGAAGCAAAAGACTTCCAAGTTGAATGAATTAACTCGTAGTAAGATGCAGAAGACACTACCTTGCCAACTTCTGACAGCAACTATGTCTTACTGGCTGTAACTAAGATTCAGTCACAGAAGATCTATACACTAGCTCTTATTTCCATCTTTTGCATATGTATCTGTAAGATGGGAATCTAAAATTGAGTGACCTGTGAATGATTCATGAAAATACTTGATATTTAAATGAGCAATGAAAAATATTTAGGGAACTGCATGACTATCTTCAGATTAGTGAAAATAATCGTAGTGTCTGGGGAATGCTATTGGAGACAATCACACTTCACAGATGACCACTTTTGGACCACTGGAGGAGAATAAACCAGCCCACAACATGAACATGCATTATGCTTTGCAAAGGAACTGAAGTATAGGAAAGAATCAGTCTCATAATACTGCTTTTGTGGGATTAAATTGCCTAATCAGATCCCAAAGTGCCACACCTGATACTTCTTTCCGCTTATACTGACCTCAAAACATTGGAATAATTGTGTGGGCTGCAGAGCTGTGTGAAGACAATAATTCACTACTAGTCTTTGCAGGGGGTGAAGTATTAGTATATCTGTCTTTGGCCATGGATGTTCCCTGGAGAGTTAGTGTGGCTTTTAAAGAGAATATCTATTCCTTGCAATGAGATTCAGAATCCTTGTGTTCAACCTGAAATGGCTTTATGGGGAGTAAAAATTTAATGCACTTAACTGCATAAAATGATGTGCAGGCTGGCCACCCCCATTCTGCCTCAGTCTAGTCAAAATCAATTTGCAAAATGATGCTTGGAGCTAGTTGAAATGAATGATGTTATCCCCAATGCTTTAAAATATTACTGAACTTGTAGGAACCTGATTGTGACCTGTGCTTTATTCTTCACAGGTATTTTCTGTAACAGGAGGTATGATAGCTCAGTGTCTCACAGAACTGCCTGCTGAAACAGCCAAATGGCAACGGGAGCAAGTGTAAGATCTGTGTAAGTACTCTGTGTCTGTGGCAAGTGCCTGGCTTCAGGGGGGTGGAGGGGAGCTGATGCTCTGGAGAGTCTCTGCTGGCTCCTGCATAAGGCAGGCACTGACACAGTGAGCAGAAGTCTCTCTTCTCTGCACCTCAGTTCCTATTGCTCATATTATTTTAGCTGCATAAACCTCTGTAGGATGGTATCCCTGTATGGTACGTACATCAAGCTTTAACGTCTATAGGAAAAAAAGGAATAGGAAAAAAATGTTCAGAAGCCAGTCAAAACCCCCACTAAATTCATCCTCACTTTCCTTACCTGAAAGCACAGTGGTCAGTGACAGCCATACATGCTCTGCCTTTCCTTCCTGACAAGCTTGTGTTGGACAAGCACCGTCCTTGCTGCAGAGGCCTGCAAGGGGAGCGGGGGGAGGAGAAGGGGCAGAGGTGTCCTGGAGCAGCTTGCTTGCACATGGACCTCATGGCACTGGCTGTGGAGGTCCCTGGCAGGCAGCTTCCCTGCCCCAGCAGCCTGGGGGAAAGTGGCCATCTCTACTGAAATCCCTTGAGATGATCTGTTGTTTCAGGCTGGCAGATGTTGGAGTTTTCTTGTCATGGCAACATAACAGTGAACCCTAGGCTTATGTTTCAAACTACCCTGAGCAGTAGGTCAGAAAATGATGGGAGCCCAATTCTACCCCTTAGGCTTTGCAGTAACTCTGACACATCACCTTCTGTGTAGGCACAAGTATACAAAAGAAATTATTCCGAGAACATTTTTAGATGTGAGAGAAATAAATAAATAAATAATAGTGGGGAGAAAAAGTGTGAAAGAAGGACAAGAGAGATAGGACTAAGGCAATGACTGACCTGAGAATGTACATATCTCAGTTCAGCTCAGATTTTCATAAGATCAGTAAGTTCCAAATAAAGACATTTCAGACCTTGTTACTATCCTGGTGACAAGGCAAGTGTTATCTTCCCCTCCTCTCTGCCCTGAAGAGCAAGGATTTTATATAATCTTGCACAGGATAGTATAAGGAAATTTTGTTTACTCTAAGTTAGTGCATCGTTAATAGTTAAATGCAGAACTTAATTGGCAGATCTTACTAATGCAGCAGTTCCAATGCTTCTGATGTCTAAAATTTGAAGGCTTGCATACTGTTCCAGCTGTAGTCAGGATTTGCAAAGTGAATGGACTTCACATGCCTGATTTTGTGCTCTCACACTACATTGACTGTTGGAATTGAGAGCAGAGAAGAAAGTGTTAAATGCCCACAGACAAGAGAAGCACAACAGGCTTCCAGTAATAGTCTGTCAGTAACCATGATTTTGAAGTCAAATAAGCATGTAGCCCCTGAAGGAGCAAAGCACTCCTGAAGTGTGGTTGATGGACTCAAAATTTTTATTCAGATGGCATTATGGAGATTCTCATTGAAAGTCATGATGGTTTCCAGAACTAGCATTCTTGCTCTGAACAGAGAAAGAGGAGAGAAACGACACTGCCAAATCTGAAAATACAATCTGGCATTTGAAGGAAGGAAGGAATGGGGGGTTGGTCTGTCTTGGTCTTCTTGTGCCCAGTGGATGGCCAAAGTTATAGGCTTGATTGTGTCAGTTTGTTCCTAGTGTTGTCAGTTATATCCTTGGTGATTCTTACTCTTGTGCATGGTGATTTTTTGACCAAATAAGCTGCTGGACTGGGTTGGTACACAAGCAAAAGGGAAATAGATCATCTTTCCTTGTGTTGGTTCTTCACAGCTTGTGACATGAAAAAAAGCAAGGGTTAGAAATAAAGACTGCATAAAAAAGGAGGGAGAAGAGATGATCTCACAATGACATTTTTTAATGATACCCTCTGGGATTTCAGAAGCCTTCAAAAGCAGTGTTGCTTTCCCACCACATAACCCATTTTGAGCAGCTGAGAATTAAAATGTAGAGGTAAGTACATTATCATATCTAGGAAATGAAGTCAAGAAAGGCTGGAAAACGTCTCTGGGTCGTACACATGTGGATGTGTTCATGCTGCTCAGCTCTCTCCCATACAGACTGTGCTGCTACATGTGGGGAGGGAAACAGCAAACAGATGTTCTCCTTGCTGACCTTGTAGACAAGTGCAAGTGTAGCTGACACGAGAGTAGGAAAAAAGCAGGGCTTCCTAATGGGGTAATGGCATAATGGTATCTAAAACGTCTCTGGGTCGTACACATGTGGATGTGTTCATGCTGCTCAGCTCTCTCCCATACAGACTGTGCTGCTACATGTGGGGAGGGAAACAGCAAACAGATGTTCTCCTTGCTGACCTTGTAGACAAGTGCAAGTGTAGCTGACACGAGAGTAGGAAAAAAGCAGGGCTTCCTAATGGGGTAATGGCATAATGGTATCTTGCTTTGATCAGAAAACTAGGCATTTCCTGGCCCTGGGAGCACTGAGTGCCAAATGTTGTTAACTAAGTGTATACACTGTGTGCCATCTGGGACATGGGCTTTAGGAAAGGGGACACTGAGCCGGTGTAAGCTGCTACCGTGGTGTTGCTGAAGTCCTGGGGCAGGTAAAGTTTACTCTGGCTGATGATCTGCCTGGGTTCATTATGGTGGAGGGATGTCTAAGATTTCATTTTCTACGGTACTTTCACCATAGCCTTCTCCTTTTTCCCCTTAAGAGTCAGTCAAAACAAAGCCCATTTTAAAAGAAATGAATGTAGAAAATGTGAAACATAAGGATCTTTTACAAAGTGTCTTTTACAGTGCTGGGGACATAAAACAGAGCAGTGGAAGATAAGCCATTATGTATGTTGAGGAAGTCTAAGAATAAAGATTATAGGCAAACAGTCTACCTTTCTTTACAAGGCCTTGATTTACATCCCTGAAATCTCAAATTTAGCTATTACAATGAAGTCCTGTTGCACACAGAGCTGCCTTTTTATCACCACTTAAAATCTAATTAATCCGTATTGAAGCACAAAGATTTCTGTTGTGTTTTAGGGTGAGGGGTCATAGAGCCCTCTTTGTTCATCCTCAGGCTTGTAATCATCAGGCATTGGGATATAATTTTACCAAGCAAATTGGAAGGTAACAGATCAAATCCTTATCGGAAAGCCTAACTCATGGTTTAGTGAAGTCCTTCGTCCTTTATGTGAAACTTTATATTCGTGAAGAACAAAAAAGCATTTCAGGGCTTACAAAGGGTTAATAGCAAGGGCTTATATTTGGGGCAGCAGAGAACTAAAATCATCATAGCTTCCACCATCACCCACAGTAGCAGTTGTTACAGAACTGCTGGGGAGACCTTCCTCCTCAAGCTTTCAGGACTCCGCTCTTATAATGGCCTTGGTCTACCAACCACTGATGCAATTAAGTGGCATCCTGTTCTCTCTGTTGGGATGGGTCCTGTCCTGTCTCACCACCTATTTACCCCAGTGGAAAAATCTTAACTTGGAACTGAATGAACTGGAGATCTGGACCATGGGACTCTGGCAAGCTTGTGTTGTCCAGGAGGAAGGGGGAATGCAATGCAAGGACTTCGATTCTTTCCTAGCTTTGCCTCCAGAGCTCAGGATTTCTAGGATTTTGATGTTTTTTTCCAATGGATCGGGGCTTTTGGGCCTCTTGCTTTCGGGATTTGGGTTGGACTGTTTGAAAATTGGTGAAAGACAACAGGAACTAAAGAAACGGCTGTTGCTGCTTGGAGGAATGCTCTTCTGGATATCGGGGATTACAGCTATTGTCCCAGTGTCCTGGGTTGCCCATTCCACAGTCCAGGAATTCTGGGATGAGAATATACCAGATATTGTTCCCAGGTGGGATTTTGGGGAAGCATTGTTTGTTGGCTGGCTTGCCGGATTTTGTCTCATATTAGGAGGATCCCTACTTAATTGCACAATCTGTTCCACTGAAGTCCATCTGTCTTCAGTCCATTATGCAGTGGCAGAGCAGCAGGATCAGTGTCAACACCTGGAAACTGAAACTAGGCCTTAAAATGGAAGGTTTTAGGCAGTACAGAAATACTGCCCTATCTTGTCCAAACCCTACTGCAAGCCAGAAGCTTGCTCCAGAAGTAATTCAAAGGATTCTTTGTTACCTAGCTGATTTCCTAAACTTATGTCTGTTTTCTCCCTAACTGGTATTGAAAGGTGACATGTTTTCTCACCTGAGGAACTGCTTAGAACTGTGTTTCACAGCAGAATGCTGAAGTTTTCATAGACTGCGCAGCAAAGGTGCTTTTGCTTTCTCAAGTGCACTGTCAAATCCTGAAAATGAATATGCACGTTCTCTTACAGCTTGGCTTTTAACCAAAATGTGCTTCCTTTTTTATGTAACCAAGGAAAGGAGCCTCAGAGCTTGACTCCCTGTTGCAATTTTCCACTTGCCTAATGCAGTGACGTACAAACTAGAGATTTCCTCTCCTGAACAGCCTAAATACATGCACTGCATCAAATGGTTTTTCTGTGTATTTGGAAATAGTAGGTTTCTGAAATTGTAGCAAGCTTTGCAGATGTCTTTTTGTGCATGGGGTGTGATGGTGTGGGTGCTTCATACCCAGCAAGTTGTGTTTTCCCAGTCTACCACATTAAGCTGCATGTAAGTTATTCTGAGCATTTCTGGCACCTGCACACTTCTTGCACCAAAAATAGGCAGAAACATGCTGCTTTAAATAATAGTTACACTATCTTCTTCCCACGCAGGTCTTGAGCCATTATGCATCCTATCAAGGCTCCTTAAGCTCCATTCACTCATATTCAGAACAACATGTTGCTGTGTCATCTGTGACTTTAAATATAGGACATTTAACTGGCCACAAAGCAGACAGCATAATTTGCTCCAAGTGGAAGTGCATCAATGTGGTTAAAACTGAATTAAAAAAACAATCTGTGAGATGCCAAAACTAGCAGAACTACTGTAATGCTTCAGCAGATTGACAGAAAGCCAAGTATATGCTATTCTTGAAAAAACAAACCCAAAACTAATGAAAGGTGAGGCTAGTTGTGGCCACACCTTTCAGCTACTGGTTTACTACATCACCTCCCTGTCCCCCAAACACTGCATGTGGAACCAGGCAACACAAGGCAGGAGGGAGGGGGAGAAGTATTTCCTGCTTCATTAAGCATTGTTTTAACTTCTGCTTATGTACAGTATGACAAAGAACAGTGCCTGCAAAAGCCAGTTTGGCACTTCTGTGACTGCAAAAAATGCCCTTGGCATACAGACACAGGCTCCAGGTAGCTGGATTTCTGTTGTCCATGCTAGGATGGATTTTAACTGGTACCTGCAACTATTTACCAGACTGGAAAAATCTCAATTTAGACTTAAATGTACTGGAGCTTTGGACCATGGGACTCTGGCAAACCTGTATAGTCCAAGATGTAGGAGGAACACAGTGTAAAGATTTTGATTCTTTCCTAGCTTTGCCTCTTGAATTCAAGATTTCCAGGATTTTAGTATCTACATCAAATGGACTAGGACTTCTGAGCCTTGTGATCTCCAGCCTTGGTTTGGACTGCCTAAAGATGGAGGATACAGAGCAGAAGCTAAAGAAACAGCTGTTACTAATTGGAGGAATACTCCTTTGGCTATGTGGAGTTCTGGTCTTAGTCCCTGTTTCTTGGGTTGCCTACACTATAATCCAGGACTTTTGGGATGAAGACATCCCAGAGATTGTGCCCAGATGGGAAATAGGAGATGCACTGTTCAGGGGCTGGTTTGGTGGATTTTTTATCATTCTAGGGGGATCTCTACTCCTCTCCACAAGCTGCTTATCATCTGACCATCAACTACCAGAGCAGTATGCAATGGCAGATGTACAAGACGCCCATCAACATCTGGAAATTGGAACTGGAAGACTTTAAAAAGGGCAGCGATAAGGTTTTCTGATTTCTTACTCTTGCATTACAGTAAGAAATATCTGCTGAACACAGAGGTTACTGTTTACAAGATCGGGGGAGGGATTGGTTCTTACTAAGTAGTTACTTTAATCATTACTTACTTTCAATTTTAATTACATTAATTGATGAGCTCTGGCAATCTAAGCCACCACTGTATTTCCTCCAAATCTGATCAGTTCCAGATTTTGTTTTTGTAGCAATGGCCCAGGGTTGTTTTTAGGATAAGTGAGTCTAAAACTTTTAATCTCTAGGTCTGCATGGACACTTGGCTGTATTTTAAATAGCAGAACTACTCCTACTGGGGCTGCTTTAAAGAATGTATTTGTTACAAAAAGAATACTAAACAAGTTCAATATTAAACTTAAACAAGTCTGAAGCATTCGTAATGCCAGTTCAACACGCATTACAGAAACCTAATTCAGTACAACCTTGAGTGAAGTTCACTGGGCCTGTATCACTTAGAGGAAACTAAATGTTCTCAGACAATGTCATTTAATACAAGATTCTCCATCATGTGTGTGTGTGAGAGAGAATACGACTGCCTGTACCCCTGTACCCCTGTCCAGTCTCTCTAAGGAGAGGCAGTACTTCTGAGTAATTCTGAGGTGTTGTCCAGGGGAGAGCTGACCATGTTCATTGCTGTTGCAGTTTTTACTTCATGAATGTAAAGAACTAACTTCAACTACATATGAATCAGTTTCTATATAACTCATCCTAAGAGCTGTCAGTGATTGATGTGAACTTTCCATAAGTTGCCATGATTTTACAATGACAAAGCTGTAGCAGCCATCTGTTTCTGCAAAGAGCATACAAAGGCATAGAACAGCAATAAAAGAATTAAATAAAGCACTGGTCTGGAAAAGAGCTTTGTTAAAAAAAAAATGTATTTTCCAATCACTGAAACATATGAAAAGTGCAGAGACAAGTTAATCTATGTGATGTACTTGCATACTCTTACAGACAAAATTAGAACAGAAACACATTCAGAATATAACCTGATTAAATATTTAGTTCAGTCCTGAGCATTTGATATTTAATACAGTATAAACATAGCAATAGTAAAAAGAAAACTAATCTTAAAATTATTTGATTTGTGTTCTACTACAATTTTTGCTAAATTTTGCTCATTTGGCTAAATATTCTTGTACAAGTAATATTTAGATTTTGATATATGCAACTGCAGTGACATTGGTACCTGGCAATAGAACTAATTACATTCACTATACCCTGCTGTGCAGAGTAAATTCCACTTCAAGAGTAGCATTTATAACTTTAAACTGATGGGATTTTCTTTTATATATTATTTTAGCTTATTCTATTGAGTATTTCAACTGTGAATAAGCTGAATTAGTAAAAAAACCCCAAAACTCCAAACCCAGAATTGTTAAAAGCTGCCTATAAATATGTTCGACCTTACCAGTCTGGAAAATGAAGAGCATGAATATGTATAAATCTCTCATTTTTAAATGAGTTCTGCAAGCTGAAGCCAGCAATACTTAAGTTTTGACCTCACCTCATGCTTACAAAACCAGACAATAATACTTTTTTGAAAGTTATTCAACATGTGAGGAAAGTTGAGTAACAGCTAATCTGGCAAGAATTTAGACAGCTCTAAGTATTTTTCACAATAGCATCCTTAATGTCAAATATTTTTATGGCCAGAACTGAACTATATTAAACAGAACATAAATAAGACTGTAAATAAATAAAAGAAAAATCATAAGTACACCTCTAGACATCATTCTACAAACAACTTATATAATCAAATTGAGAAGTTGAAACTGTCAACCTTCATTTCACCTCTACATTAAATAATTCCAGATTTTTTTATTTATTTTTTTTTAAATTGACCTTTCAAACATGAATGTTACCTCAAACCCACAACACAGAAAACAAATGGGGCATTCATAAAGGATGCTCAATCAATCATCTTGCCCAAAATAGCATGTTTGGCTATACATGTCAGTGAACTGATGTATTTGTGCATAAGAAAACCCTTGGGTGTTACACAGACCTCTCATCACAGAATTGTCACTTTAAATTTAAGGCAGCTGCTACCATACTGTGGTTGTATTTGTTTCCATTTTCTCACCAAGTAATTATAGCATTTTTGAAAGATGAAGTCCATGCAATGTGGCTTGTTGCTTGGGGAAGAAAACTGTAGCCAGTGAACTGAATACATCTGAGTGCAACATATTAAGTAGGAAATGAAATAATTCTGTTATCTGCAAGGTCCACCTACTTCCATAGTACTCACAGAAGATAAGACCCCCAAACTTCTTCACCAAGACAGGACTGCTCAAATACCTACAGCTAATGGACTTCTAACAGAAGGCACTCAAGTTGCCTTCTGACAAAGCAGCCTGGTAGGGAGAAGAATGTAAGACAAATTTGAAACATGCTGTCCACATCTGTTCATTAAACCTGCGCATCCTCAACTGCACACAGGGTTACTTGTGTATTTTAAAAACTGCTACTTATTGTACTGAAATATGTGCAGACTTCTAGTCAGGAGCTTGTCTTTTTTAGAAAGGGTTTACCTTACCAACAGGACTTCTGATATCTAAGTCAGCGTGTGACCGATTTTTCTCCTGGTACAAATACTTCAGTGAAACATCTTCATATCTGTAAACCTAACACACACTTTTATGTATTCCTAGCTGGCAATGAGACAGCCCCCTAGGACAAAAGATTAACAGAGAGAAAGTCTCATTTTTAAGTGTACAATGGCTATAACTATTCAGGTTTCAATGCTGGTATTATGAATTTGATTCATCTCATTCAGAAAGCAGCTGCCCCTTTTGGTAGTCTCATAGTAAGTTTTTAGGGTTACTTGTCTGCCTTGCCTCTCTCACTCTCCTGCAGATGCAAGAAACCTTTTAGTGCAGCTTAAAGTACTGTACATTCACAAAACTAAACTCTGAACTCTGTCTCTTCCTACAAACTATCAAAAAAACAAAACCAGAAGAAGTTTGTTTTCAGAAACAAAATTCCAGTGTGGGTGATGAATCCAATTAGCAGCTGTTGTGAGGCAGCCTGGAAAGGAACTCACGCTTGTGGTTAACTTTAAACTATAAAAATCCCACTCTTGTACAA